GCTGAAGGCATGCATGAGGTGTAAATGTTCAGTGTCGTACACATGAAAAATCAGATTTGTGAATAAATACTGAAAAACACTTCATGAAATTTGAGCAAAGGGTTATAAGCTACCATTCTCCAAATTTTTCCAAAATTTCCCGGACATTTACATTTCTTGCAGTCCAGGAGAAATTTATGAAATATGGAGTTGGGAATTGTGGGCATGGAGATTTCTAGCTCACACATAACTCACTACTAGGTAGGTGTTGGGGGAACTCCAGCTATTAGTGGTAGCTATTGTCTTTAAGGGACTTCTGAAGTCTGACTGTGAGATGTTAAAATGTTTGCAATGTGTTTGTGTACTTCTCAGAAGGCTTTCACTGAGTGCTCATTGTTTTGAATAGTGAGGAAATGTGGTCAATTACACATTATTTCCCTTGCATCCAACTAGACCTCAAGGGAGATTTAATTTGAAAACTGTAAGAAAACCCTTCAAACATGGAACTCAATGCAGTTACCAGGCATTGAGAAAAGTCCTGCAGGCTCAGAATTCCAGAGAAGGCATTGCTTCTCTGTGCATTCGGACCTTTTGTCGGGGATGAGCTCTCACCGGCTTTCCTCTCGAGAGTGCACTGCATCTCACAGTGCCTATCTCGTCTGCTGGATTGTTGGTTGCTCAATCTCCAGAGACTTCTGGGCCTGGTGTCTGGAGAAGATGAGAGGATGTTGCAAATGTGGGCAGGGCCATCACATTTCTTTCATTTGAAACAAAAGATACACACCAGAGTTTGTAAGTTTGATGACTCTAGGAATTCAGATTAAAAAATTTTGCTGGGCAGTAGTGGCACACACCTTTATTCCCAGCTCTCGCAAGGCAGAGGTGATCTATGTGAGTTGGAAGCTAGTCTTGCCTACAGAGTGAGTTCCAGGGCAGCCGATATATACATATCTCAAAATCCTGTCTTGAAAAATGAAATAATTTTTTAAACTGCAATTTTATAACAGCTCTTTTTTTTCCAAAAAAGAATGTTTGTTAGAGTCAGTATATTTGAAAAGTAGTTTTTGAAACATTTATGTGATTGATGATTTCTGAGAAGTCATAGCTGATTTAAAATTTGGTTTCTTACTAGGGGTATCAATTTAAGGAACAAAATGAAATTTGTAAAAAAAACTTTAAATGTGGAATATGAATATAACTTCATGTCTGCTCTCTCAAAGGAGGTGTCTTGTCTACTGATGTATCCCCAGTATATACCATAACGAAGGCTAGTTAGTAAGTATGTGTCAACTTAATTGAATAGATTAATGGAAAGATGGATGAAAGTAGCACCTTTTAGCAGAGATCTGTTATTTGTCGCTGGTGCTCTATGTTGAGTTCAAGATCTTGTGATCCTGTTTGGAGGTTTGTAGGGAGAGACCTAGGCACTTGTGTCGCTGACCACACCCATTTTGGGCGTGGCTGCAGGTGCATACAAGACTTGTGGAATAAGGGCTATGCAGAGAGGCACTCAGTCTCTTTTTGGGGTTCTGGTCGGGTCTCAGAAAGCTGCGGAAACTAACCTGGGTTATCAGTTTCTCTTGTAAGTATCTTTCCACAATAGTCTCCTATACCCACATCAAGTGTACAATTTATATTCCTATATCCAGCAGGGGAGTGTGGTCATTTGTTGACACTTGAGTGAAGAAAGGTCCTCTTATATCAGAGGAGGTAGAGACTTTTCTTCTTAGCTGAGGGCTGGGGTGGAAGGATGCATATCTCAGTGAGAGAGGATGGAGACAACTTCCTAGGCAACCACATTAGCTCAATGAGTGCTAGCACTTAGTGGGGTGACTGTGTTACAATCAGAACTCCTTCAGAGACTCTACTGATCTTGAGGAGGGCAGGGCTTCTATCTGATGCTAGACATTTAAAATGTTTAAGTGCATTGTTGAAATGGTTCTTCTGGGCTAGGCCCACTTCATCATTCTAATCAGGAAAGCTTGGTGTCAGGGTCTGATAACAGAAGCCACCACTGGTCTATTCTCAAGAAGTTAGGTAGGGCCTGATGCCTCATACTCCAAGGAGGCTTGAAGTCCAGCAATGGCATGAAGGAAGTGGGCAGTAGATTAGTCTGTTCCATGTATCCTTTGGGCATCCCTCCCATCCAACCCCATCTTCTTTTCTTCTCTTTCTCAGAGACACCTAGCATACTCTCCCCAAAGATCTTCCTTAGTTGAATTCTGACTAAGTACAGTGTGACTGCCTTTTACTAATGAACTGAACCATAAGTGGTCCCATGTAACACATCACCCTGTGTGTCAGTGGGAGAATATTATGGAAGTGACTGTTCTGCTTTGTATCATGACTTCTTAAAGGTTACAGAGACAAATTTCCCCATGGCCTCATAACTAGGATTAATTGTGTTTCTCCTGAGCAAACTGCTTGTTCTTTGTTTTCAGACTTTGAAATACATGTAATGATTCATGTTTCTTCTATCCATGTAGCCTGTCTGAAAGCTAAATTCATATTTATAGTTTACTCCTGACAAGTATGGGATATTCTTCCAAAAATTCTCTTTTGCCTGGATTTCCCTTATACTTACTTTAAATTTAGGTTATCATAGTGCATGGATGTATTTTTTTGTCAAGCCAATTTAAATCTTGTAGGAGAGAAACAGAATAAAGGAATATAAATGAAGACCATTTTGTTTATGCAACACCTTTATTCTGGTTGTTTTTCCTTCTCTGAGCCTTTGCTTCACAAATCATTTTCGTCTAATCTCATTATTAGCTGCCCACCCTGTCCCGTGTCATACCACTTCCCAGGTTAGGGGCTTTGGAGGATTTGCCCCTCACATTGAAAGCTTGGTTCTGATAGCTTCTCTTTGCATCTCTACTTTCTAGTCATTTGAATTTCATTAAATTTCTACAACTATTTTATTTGTAAGGAGAGTAATACTGCTTATCACATGTGAAGGTTACAAGAATACATGAATACTTTGTAAAGTGTCTTATATATCACTCCATCTTTCTAGACAGCCACTAGAAGGGGAAAATGCACTGGACTTCGAGTTTAAAGCCTCCATGTCTTTATTAGTTTAAGACTTGAGCAAACCACTGGACCTTTTAGTCTCCTTTTTTTTTTTCTTATGTAATTTTATGGCAGGGCATAGCAAGTCAATGCTCCAGAATTAACTGTTATCAGATTCTAAGATAAGCCCTTGCTAAGAAAGGCTTGGGCATAGAAAAGATTAGGATCTGAGGCTGGGAGGTACAGAGGGCTGTTGTGTTGATTTTTGCCTTCTTTAGTATATTAGTTTTTGTATTCGTAATTATCTTCTGGAATACCCTGAATTGCTGATGATCTAAGTCCTGACTTCATGTGAAGTTCAAAAGTTATGTCAGTATGGATACTAGTATATATAGTAAATGGTCTATATGGTAAATACCTTGTCACTTGAGGAGTACATTCCATAGGAGTGAGTTATATGTTGGTGTTTGAAAGGAATCAGTGGCATAAACTGAGATGTTATTGATATCAATAAACATGTTGGCCAGTGACTGAATTTTGTTCAGTCATAGAGTCAGCCAAAACAAGTGTCTATGCCTAAGGTATGGTTTCTGTTTAAGGATTATTGAGCAATTGGAGTAGTCCCAAAGCAAGAGGACTCTCATTTCTTGAGATGATAAATATGGGTTTGTAAGAGAGTTAAAGTTACACTCATAGCAGTACATCAAGATTCAGGAGAGTTTTGCGGTCAAGCACTCTGAAGTTTTAGTGTGTGGTTTTGGTCAAGTTATTTAGTCTCTCCAAGCCTCAGTTTCCTCATATCTCAGAAGGAAATTGGTATTTAACTAGAATGACTGTTTTTTAAAGAGATGGTAGAAGTGCCCAAGATATGTTACTTATAGGTAGGTAATTTATTATTAATAAAAATGTTAACATTACTAAAAACTTCAAATTCATACCAGCTTTCAAGGATCTTGCTATACCTAATCCAATAAGGTACACAGTCTAGGGAAATAAATCTTAAAAACAAATGTTGATCACAGAATGATCACAATATCCTTGGTGTGGTAATACATGCCTTCAATCCCAGCACTTGGGAGCCATAGGCAGGTGGATCTTTCTGAGTTTGAGGCCAGCCTGGTCTATATCATTGCTTCCAGGACAGCCAAGACTACATAGAGAACTCCTGTTTCAACCCAAAGTAAGCAAAACTACAAAAAGGAGAATGATTAGAGTACATATACGTTTCATAAAATTTTGAATTAATATACCATGTCCATTAGCTTCCATTGTACTGTTTTATCCTTACAAACTTACTCAAATAGATGTCATCTACTTTTACTCTTGGTGATTTCAGTCTGTACAGAGGATACAGGGCTGTGAACTAGTTTCCTCAGCTACTCATATTGCTCTACATCTTGTTTAGTCCATTGTTAAACCCCAGTCTTTTGCCTTTGTGTGAAACAGGAGTAAATTTGTTTAACTTGTTTCAGAAAATGATTAAAACCATCATTCATGAAAAATCATTGTTTTGTTTTTTAAAACAATAGGAAATTAAGATAAATGTTGAAAATACTTTTCAATTTTATTATTATTTATTAATTTTACAGAATAATGAGTTTTACAATATTTCATGTATATATATATGTATATATATATATGCTTTGATCACCATCAGTCTTTAATTACCATACTCTACTCCCTCTTCTATCTTTTCCTTTCCTCCTCTCCAAACCCTCTTTCTTTCCAAACATCTCTACTGTCATCTTTTTTCCCTTTAGTTATTATTGTTACATGTATACACACATATAAATAAATAAATACAACTTGTTGGGGCCATTAAGTCCTGTATGTATGTTTTTAGGGTTGACCCCTTGGTACTGGATAACCAATTTGGGACTCACACCTGGGAAGACCAATTCTCCCTCTCTCAACAGTCATTAATTGGTTATAGCTCTTTATTTAGGGTGGGACTTTGTAAGATTTCTCTCATTCATGTTCACATGTCAATTCGTGTTGTCATTGTTCAGGTCTTGTTGATATTTCATGGATACAGTTACTCTGACCTGAATAGAAGACACTATTTTTCAGCAGAAGTCCTGGTCCTGGCCCAAGATGTAATCATGAAAGAAATAACCAAATTTTGAAAATAAAAGTTTGTCAACTCCGTAGACAGTGAGTTTGGTAAGACATTGTTGATGTGCTCTTATGAAAATGAAGAAACCACTGAAAGCTAGACTGGTTTGGGGGTTAAGTATTTTTGTCTCAATGAGCCTCAAGGTTCTTTGGGGTGGGGGGGTTGGTTCACTGACTATGTAGTAAACCTGTGAGATTGTACCCGGTAGCAATGTGTGTTGGTTACACAACCATATGACAGAGCACCTGGACAGGGTGGTGTTCTTGTGTTTCACTGTTTGAATCTTTCAGAAGAGAAGTGAAATTCTGTAGACTGGGTTTCATATGTTCTTGGTTTTCATCTGTATTTTCATGTTGAATTTCTCTCATGTCAGGTTATGTGTTAGTCCATTTGGAATTGAAACCTTTATAAGTTCACTGACTGTTCAGCTCTAAATATATTATAGCATCCCTTCTAATGCTTGGGGAATGGAGGCAAAAGGAATGTATTCGCCAAATAGGGAACACAGCCCCAGGATTCTATCTTCTGGGCATAATACAACCATTGCAATCACCATCTCACAGCAGCTGTGTTTGCCGGAATTAGGCATGCAGAATACTGGACCTGTCTGTTAACAGTCTATCCTGGGTCAGTGAGAGATTCTCTGGACCATATCCCACTCTGATAAATTTCTGGCTACTGGTGAATTCTTGGGGAGATGCAGACATTGAGCTTCCTTGTGTGTACCAACATGCAAGCCCACCAAGCTCCAGTGGTAGGACTGAGTACCTGTAGCCACCACTGCAATTAACTGAAGAGGAAGATCCAATCAATGGCACAATTGAATTGCCCGAAAGGCAGGTGTCATCCACATCTTTTTTTCTTTTGTGATTTGGGGACACAACTCAGGGACTTGCACACACTATGCAAATGCTCTATGGTCGAGTCACGTTTCTACTATTAAGTCATCATTTAGAATAATAAGGCTTGCAATTAAAATCAGACACAGAAATGTGATAAGGCAGAAAACTGTAATGACGGAGTAAGAAACCCATTGAGGCACCCCCACAAGTGAAAGATGTTATGAAATTTCTATTGAGAGCTAAACGTGCAAATAGGGTTGGTGAGACGGCTAAGTGGCACCGATCCTGATGACCTGTGTTTGATCCCCTGGATCTGCATGATGGCAGAAGAGAATAAACCCCCTTTATATGTCCTCTGACCTCCATAGCATGGCTCTCAATAACTGAAATAAAAATTTAGAAACAGTGAAAAGAGGCAAATATTCACATCAGTGTTAGGGTTTTGTTGAGTTACTACCAGAAGGCCAGAGTTAGTTGAGAGTTCTTAGACCTTTCAAAGCTATGCTCAAAGACTTGAATGCAGAAAAGGGGGCTGTGGTATTCCAGGGTTCTCATACCTTTTTTAATTTTACTGAATATATTGAAGAGTGCTCCGTGTCCTGGCTGGGAAATAAACAGCACTCATGTGGTACAAGTTCCAGAGAGAGGTGAGGGTTGATAGCCCGGTGAACTTCTCCCCTACCCAGTTAAAATGTCATGATGTGATGCCAACCACTGCCAACATCTTGATAGCTGCTATGGACTGATACAGGGAGTGAAGTATGGCACATGAGTGGTGTTGTCATAGTGGTGATCATGAATCATCCAAACTCATAACTGGTATGCCCTTCTATTTGGTCTCTTACATGTCTTGTCCCAAATTTTGGATTTAATTTATATGTTTTATGATTTAGGGTTGCTCAACGGTTGGCATTAGTATGTTTCAGGTACATTTAATATTAAATAGGATTTTATATATTAACCTGGGTATTTAAGGATCATTTGTAAGCTTGTTTCCCTACTAAAATATATTTGGGTCCAAATCAAATAGAGTAAAAATTCTGAGGAAATGATCCCTTTAAAGAAGGAAATTATTTCAATTTGTACTTGTAAATCTACATCAGTATATAATAAAATATTTTAATATGTCTTTGGAATGAAAGCTGTAGCTTAATTTTAATAATGGAGGGGGAAATGGGATAGCTAAAACTAAACAGCATTACATATATGAAGTTTTTGTACATGTTGTTGAATTAATTAAAAACAAAGAAATTTCTATGTAGTCATTTGACTTTAAAATATATGTTCAAAGTTTTAGATTTTCAGCTGTTTCACAATGATATTCTCACACTATTATTCACACGAAGCTTTATTTCTGTAAATGCATGTTTTATCTATCTACTCGAGGTTTATGCTGAGTAGTGGAGACAGCTAACTTAAAATTTGTAATATGTTTCAAAAGTAATATATACATTAGTTGGTTTAAGCACAGGTATTAAGGGAAGATGCTTAGATCCTAATATTGGTCAGGTCATGATGGGTTGAAGAAAAATGTGGAGAGGAATGAATAGTTACAGTGAAGTCCTTAGTTAAATCTGAACCTCTTCTGGGGGACTTCGTATGTGCTTTAAGGTCCTCCTGTGGTGAGGAAAACAGGCAATTTCATCACTAATTATGCCATACTGGTACATGAGGGAAAACCATGTGAACATTTCTTTACATGTCTCAGCTCACTCATTCTTTGAATTGATAACCAAGTGGCCTCTAAACACATGGTCTGTTTCTTTCTCCCCTTCCTTCCTACTTGGTTGAGAGGAGAGTGGACTTGCTAGAGGAAGCCTGTTCCTAAGCTCCGCCCTCTTCAGCTAGGACCAGAGCTAATGCAGTAAGTGTCTACAACTTGGTCTTGGGTCCAGGAAACAGTCGAAGCAGCACCATCTGAGAACTCTATGAGGCCTGCAGATGGGTGAAAGAAAACTACAATAACTTTAATAATGGCCTACAGCTGACTGTTCTTTGTACACTGAACTATGCATCATGTTTAATTCTCTCAAAAGTTAAGAAGTCTCAGAATCAACCCCACTTAAAAAAAATAAAGGAGAGAAAGAAAGAAAACTCATACATTTATAGAGCTGGAATTCTCTCAAAGAGTTCACCTTAATATGTCAGCTATTGTGCTAGTACTTGCCATTGTTTGAGTGATCAGTATACTCAGTTTTGCCAATTAGTTAAATGTGAATTAAAAACAAGACATTACATAATCCTCCTTTGCTAGGGTTCTTTCTCCTTCCCTTCTTTATTTCCCCTTCTTCCTTTCTTTTACCTCGTTACTTTCTTGCTTCTTACCATATCACTGCTAGATTAGAAGCAAAGGCATGGTGGCTGCCCATTTTCCACTCTCACCACAAACTCGGATCAATTAGGATAGAGCAGGGAAAACATGATGCTACTCAGTGATATGCTCTACATTCCTAACCCAGCTGCCAGAATAACTGGTTAGATACCCTCAAGGATATCTGTGAGTACTAACTAGGAGCTTTGTCACAGATAACTGTATTGTGTGTCTGAATGTACAAGTCTGTTTTTTCTATTATTATGTGATATTTCATGTTGACTTGTCAAACTGAAAAATGCCCATATTGATTTTGCAGAAAGCCTCACGTGTGAGATAAATGCACTCAAAGACGCTTCACAAGTAGCTCTTTGGAGCTTCAGATGTGAAATGGATCATTCCTCAATCTGTAATAGACCCTTCTGTGAAGCTCTTCAATCAAACCTGAGAAGTCAAGGTGAAATTGAAGGGAGGATGGGATACTCTGTAGGGCGATGAGAGTGAGCAAGCCGATTGAGAAAGGAACCTCGGGTGTTTGCCATGCGCTGTCTTTCTTTCTTTCATTTCCTTTAGCATAGGAAGACTGTCAATCGCTGTGTGACCTTATGCTCGATGTGCACGGTACCTGGGCACATAACAAGGTGTGGAGGGGTTCATGTGTACCTTTGATTTCTTTCCGTTTATCACCCTTTCTGATTAGATTTCAGTTATTTCTAATGTATGTATTTGACATAGATTTTATTAGGTACTTTCCACTGAAGAGTAAGTTATATTGTCATAGTGATGAACTAAAATAGTCTTCTCTCTTATAAAAAGCAAAAATAAACCTTTATGAAAGAAGCAACAGGCAACATCCTTTTTTGCTTTTTTTTTTCAAGACACACTTTCTCTGTGTAGTCCTGGATATCCTGGAACTCACTTTACAGACTAGACTGGCCTTGAACTCACAGAGATCCACCTGCCTCTGCATCCTGAGTGCTGAGATTAAAGGTGTGCACCATCCCTGCCCAGCCAGCAGGCACCATCCTTAGCTAGACAGAATTGGCATTGTTTGTTAACCAATGATACAGGTATGTACATTTTAAGTCTAGCATCAGTAATGGCTTTGAGTTAGTTCAGTTTGAATACAGCTATCTTTAGTAAAGGGAACACCATTCTTCTAGAATCAGTATTTTATATTACATTTTAAGTATTTTCTAAAATTGATTTTTATTTATGTATACTTGTGTATACATCTGTGTTGTATGTATACCACATGTGTGTGAGCATAGGTGGTGGCTAGGAGAGGGTGTTGGAGTCCCTGGAGCTGGAATTAGCAACCTGACATGGATGCTGAGAATTGATCTTGGGTCTGCTGGGAGAGCAGCCAGTGCTCTTAACCAAGGAGTCATCATCTCTCTAGCCCCTCACAATTTACATTTATTTGGTGCTGCATTTTTAGCTGGAAGTTTCTGGGTTAATTTAAAGAAAGAAAAGCCAGAATTTTCAGCGGTCTGTTTAATTTGGAGGAACAGAGAATCCTGACACCAAAGTAAGAAAACCATGCTTTGGAATTTCTGCTCAGATACAAAGTGTGTTTGCCAATAGTTTCCGATGCTTAAGCTGCTATGAAATGATTGTTATCCCACAACTATGTCATAGCTTTCCTAAGCCACAGAGACAGAGTTGTTTATAAAGCTCCACTATTAGTATAATCTTAAGAGCGTATTAATTGCCCAGGAGGTTCATGTATTTGTTCTGCACATGTGATTAACGATCACAGCCGCTTATGCAGCACCGTTGTGGAGATGGAGAAAATGACTATTGTAACACTCACCACTCTTAAGTTTCCTCTACCGCGATGCCCTTACACCTTTCTTTCACAGGCGTTTTGTAGCATCCTAAACAGAAGGGTATTGCAGGGAGTTGATTCTGCTTTGATCCTTGTGCTTGTTGTCAAAGCGCTTGGGATTGAAGAGACTGTTGGCTACAATTGACTGTGACAATTAGGAGATGATCAGAGCCCTGGAGTGGAGCACTTAAAGGGTAATTTACATGTCAGTTTGTCGAATAAAAAAAAAAGATATTCAGCTAAGATTTTTTTCCCCCCTCAGAGCCTTGTAAACTGCAATTTGTACGCTGGTAAGAAAAACCTGGCAGAGGAGTTAGGATGCCATTACCATTTGAAAAGAAGCAATCATAAGGCCGCTTCTGAGCCCTTTGTCCACTGAAAATGCTGATTTGCAGGCAGTGAGTGAAAAAGTGGAGCCCACCACGAAATAGAACCTTGAGCTAGGTAACCACCCTCTACCTCAACACTTGGTGGCTGGCTTCTTAGCATCTGTTAAAAAATAAAAATGTACCTTCAATCCTACATTTACTGTCATCAAATTGTTACTGAGTATGACCGTTCTCTTCCACCAGCGGAAGAATCATAGGGGATGCTGAGAGAGGCCAGTGGGACACGAGTCAAGAGTCCGTGGCGATCAGACTGTGGCCATCAGTGGCATCGCATCTCTCCTTCTTTCCCCCTATGCTGTCACAGCTCGCCTCCAGCCATCCTGTTACAGGACCACACTCGCGGTGCGCTTAGGTTTTTCTGTTTTTATTTATTCCACTCTTTAATAACGAGAACCATCCTTGTAATATTCTCACAGCAGTCTGGTCATCTCTTGGATCAGTCTATTAGCTCGCCTGTGTGTGCCAGCAAAGTTGAGTAGCTAGGAAGTTCAACAGTAAAAACACACTATAGCCACACATACATTGCCCTATGGGGAAATACGTAAATTTGGTGCCTGTGTTTAACACAGAGATACACATTAACTCAAAATTGCAGGTATGTCTTACAATCCAGGTTTTGGACTCTGGGCCCGGGTGAAGGATATTTTTAGAAAGATCGTACATGGGTTACACAAGAGGTTGTCTTTATCTACAATAGCTAAGAATGCCCATAACCTTCAAGGCCAGAGGCTCTGAAACTGAGGAGGAGTTGGCCTATGACAAACCCACACCCCGGTACTGACACAGATCTTGGTTTTAAAACACCCCTTTCATTGAAGAATTTACCACCTTATACTTCTGAATGTATGAGCTTTTATTTATCCTCCCATACCTGAATCCCCAAACTTTTTTTTTTTCAAAATAGGGCTCATTTAAGGAGTCAGTTTTCCTTTCTGGGGTTTCCGCAAAGCACCAGTGAGTGTGGTGAGCTGAGGAGAGTTCACAGACATGCACCCATCCATCCACGAGGGATAAACTTCCTAAACTGCTGCTGGGCTTCCCTTGTGTACCTGTCTACTTTGTAGACAATAGTGTGCAAACTAGAATCGAATAAGGCTAAACAAATGTATCAGTTGTTAGGCGTACAGGGGATACTGAGACGGAGCCAGAGAAGCCCTGGTGTTGTAGCATGTGCCTTAGGATGCAAGTGTGGTAAGTCTGTATCAACAGCCAAGCACAGCAGGAGGTGTTTGTCTCCCAGGTAATGGGGAAATGATGAGCAGATGAGCCACCCTCGTATTGATGTAAGCATTTTGTTCCAGCCAGTCACAATTAACTTTGATTTGTTTTTACTTTCCTCTTATGGGTTTGCATTTAAAACACTCTCAGAGCACTAATTGTATAAAATTCTGGTAACTGTGCTTTCTCGATTTAGAGGTAATGAGTGAATGAATAGGGAGGCAGGGTTCCTCACCACTCTGAAGGGAGTCTCTCAGGGCATTTCTACTGACTGACTCTGGTTGGGGAGGTGAGCTGTAATCCGAATTTTACAACCATATGAATGATACTGCATGCGCCTCTTGGATGCTCCCTTTTTATCAGGTAATTCTGCAGAGCATCTCTGTGACCTAACAGCTGATTTTCATTTTATTTACGAGAGAATATTTAGGTGAATAATTGGAAAACAGTTTAAATTGTGCTTATTTGACTCTTAAGAAAATGGGAACCTCTTGAAAACTCATTTGGACATATTTGAAATGACGTTTTCCTCTCACTGTGTTAGTGATTTTACACTGTACAAATCGCCATGTTGTGACAAAACAAGCTATTGAAATGGCTTGGAAAGTTTGTAGAAACCTGCCTAAGGAACCAGTGTGTCCATTTTTATAGTTTATTCACATGTCAGTTTAATGAAATGCTGCTACTAGTGAAAAGTTCTAGAACTTTTGCAAAACATTTACTCTTGTTTTAATGAACATATCTTTCGCTATACTTTTTGAAAGCTGCTACACTTGGGTTTCCAGATGTAATACAAAATAAAGCAATATGAATAACATGTCACTAATTTGTACTTCCTATAATTATTAAGTAATATTTCAGTATGAGCATGGCTCAAGTACATGCTAACATCTTTTATCTGTTAAACCTAGGTGGCACTCTGATTGGACAGAAATTACAGCCATATATTGAATGCATTAGTCAACTATTGACAAATAGTGATTTACAGATGATTTTACCTTTTGTTGTCAGGTTAAATAAACCAACAAACTTGCTTTAGAAGCCAGAATTTTAAACCCCTTGGTGTTGAGCTTAATTGCCTCATCATGTTTCAGGTCAAGTTGGGGGTTGCTAGTTCCTATGATGTCTGCTTAATCGTTTACTAAAACGGAGATTTCTGAGATGCTGGCTGGGCAGTGGGGCTTACCTGTGTTGACTAGGCTTTGCCTGGAATCAGTGGCTGCCGTGTAGAGAGAACTAAATGATGCTATGAACATGCACTAGATTTGTGAACCATAGTTTTCCTGTGTGGTAGTGCAGTTTGAAACCTGTGTGACTCTAATCCTGGTAAGATCTTCTGGGAAGGGAAAGACCCTGCTTCCTGGAACTTTTATTGTGGTTACAATAGTCTAATACACGTAACAGACCATTAATGCTACAATTTATGGAGAACCAAGTATCTGATTCATCCTTTTGGGTCAGCATTCATATTTTTTGTCTTCCTCTTCTTGGAGTTTTCTGTGGCTACACAGAAAGATCATTTTAACAAGTAAGTTTAGAGCTCATGCCCCATCCTTTGACTGAGTTGCACCAGTGGACATTTTCCTAGGAAGCCTATGCTGGAGTTGGGCCTTCTCACCTCTGGAGAACTCTTTGAATCTTTATTTTTCTGCCTGATAGCCTTTCCTGAGCTGCAGAAGCCTGTACAGTGCTCCCCCAGCCATGGAAATGTTGCGGGAACTCATACCCAACAAGAACAGTCTGCATCTGTGGATAATGATTCCAGACAGGTGTCCTTTGCACAGGCAGTTCTGAGAGGCACCCACATGCTTCTTAGAGGCCATGTTTTTAGCAGATGGGATTCTATGAATCCTTTGATACTGTTTTTTTGTTTTTTTAATTTCTTTATTCCTATTTCTGGGGTTAACCAAGGTGCATCCAAGCCCTGGTCTTAGGCTTTGCTTTCAAGGTTAACTGTAGCTAAAATGTGATTGAAACTCCTTTCCCTCTCACATGAAGCACCTTCCAGCTAGATAGGTAATTGGTCCTTTGATCTCCCCTAGAGAGAAGAGTTCTGCAACTCCCCGTGTTACTAAAACCAAGAAATGTAGGTTATGGAGTGAATTGTAGGTTATGGAGTGAATTGTACACCATTTATCCTGCCTTTTCCTTTGTTAAGAAAACCAGTTATTGGATGCAACTACATGTGAGGGCATGGACTTTGGTGTGGAGAATAGACACCAAATGTCTAGTCAATGTATATTGCTTGACATGTGCATGGTCTTATCAAGGACCCCAGTGCCTCATACTCCTGAGAGTGGCAAGCCCTCCCCGGGTGAGACTCAAAGGAAGGTCAAAGCCTGCTTCTGCTAGGCGTGGGAATGTCAAGAGTGTATGTACAGATTATCACCCACATCCTCCTCCTCCAGGATGACTACACCCTGAGACTGCTCCCCTGAGAGATTTCCTAGGAAGATGAGCTAAACCTGCCTCCTTGTTCAACTGCATACCACAAACCCATCTCAGGTTTACTATACACAGCTGAATAATGAGATGGGTTGCTGTTGGAGATGGTGCCTTCCATCAGAGCAAGTGCAACCTACCCAACTGCAGCTTTTCTGAACGTGTGTTTTTTTATCTGACCTTTCTTCATTTCTTCCTTGCCCCCATTAGGTGTATCTCTGTAATCATGGAGAGTACATCACTAAAGATTTCATGCACATTGTTCCACATGGCACTTGAGATACTACCAGGAAAAACTATTAGCAACTTGCCTTACAGACGAAGTAACAGATCCGGAGAGAATGTGACTTTTTTAAAGACTGCAAAGTTAGTCCTAGTCACTATTTCATAGTCTTCAATACAAAATTTGCACAACATAAGCACAATATAATCTAAATGAAAAATTTAAGACTGCTTGTATACAATATGTGTAAATAACTACATGTGTATAATATGTATACATAATAAAAACTATAAGCACAGATTTAAAGAGAAATTAAAGTTTTTTTTTATAAAATGCCATTTGGATACACTAACGAGATAACTGGACAGGGGGGTAGAAAGAGTCAGCTTTTATCAAATAAGGAAAGCATTTTCTTTAAAAGTTCTTCATGTCAATATATAATTAAATAACATCTGTAAAGTATTTGTTCCATCATGAAATCTAAAGCCCTACAGATCCATCCACCCCCCCAATTTATACACACCTAAATTTAATAAACATTCATGGAATTAATTAATTTCAAATTGTGGAATATTGACCTCAATGAAATCAGATTTTTGGTGATCTACTTCACTCAAAAACTGGTCAAGGCCCCACAGTCAAACATTAGGCCAAGCTTGGGGAATCCTGCTGAAGAGAGGCAGGGAGGATTGTAGGAACCAGAGTGGTCAAGGACATTATAAGAAAAGGCACAGAAACAACTAACCTGGCTCAGAGGAGCTCACAAAGTCTGAAATAACAACTAGGAAGCCTGCATGGAACTGACTTAGGCCTTCTACATATATGTGACAGTTGTGTAGCTTGACCATTTGTGGGACTCCTAATAATGAGGTCAGGGGTTGTTCCTAATAGCTTTGGATGGCTCTTGCGAACCTAGTTCTCATACTGGGTTGTCTTGTTTAGTCTTAATACAAGAGGAGGTGATTTGTCGTACTACAATTTGATATGTCATGCCTTGTTGATACCCATGTGAGGCATGCCCCTTTCTGAACAGAAACAGAGGAGGAGTAGTTGAGGGGTTGCAGATGGGAGATGGAGAGGAGAGGAAATGGGAAGAGAGAAGGGAGGGAAAACTGTGGCTGGTATGTAAAATTAATAAATAAATTCAAATAAAGATGTGCACATGCAAAAAAAATGGTCAAGGCATGTTTCAAGATGACTTGTTATTTGGAAAAAATAAAATATAAGTAGTGTTTTACATAATTAAGATATAGTATTTGGAATGTTATAGTATGGTTCTCAAATATGGTATGTTTGGTTAATTTAAAGCTGCAGGAGACAAAGGGCAACAGAAAAGTTTCATCTGATGCTACAACAGGCAGGAAGTGTGATGTACAGAAGTCGGGTACAGTCAACATGAACTTTTGCAGACAAAGAAAAGACTATCAGAAATTACAAGGTCCATTTTTCATTCAGGAAG